CCAAAAGGTCACACATCCTGGCACAATCAACCCCAAAAATTCACACATCCTGGCATTATCAACCCGAAAAGGTTGCACATCGTGGCATTATCAACCCCAAAAGGTCGCACATCCTGGCATTATCAACCCCTAAAAGGTGTCGTATCCTGGCATTATCAACCCTAAAAAGGTCACCTATCCTGTCATTATCGACCCCAAAAAGGTCACACATCCTGGCATTATCGACCTCCTAAAAAGGTTGCATTATCAACCCAAAACATCACATCCCTGCAACAAACAAACATTCTTTGGGATAATATGGATATGAAGCAAAGTGTGTACATCCCCAAGCTCGCTCGCTCACGCAGACAGACAGACAGACAGACAGACAGACAGACAGACAGACAGACAGACAAGCACTGATCTTATATAGAAAGCATGCATTGTTTTATTACAGCACTATTGTACGAAGGGAAACAAATCCACTCCATTTAGAAGCGGTTATTTATGACAACATTTTTTGAAATACACAGGATATGTACAAAAAAATCATAGATTACCACATGCAAGTAGACGTGACCAGGACGTGTTACAGCGCCCTCAATGAGTGGCCGATATGCGACAGCAGTAATAAACAATTATTTCTGTAAGTGGATTCTGCCAGTGAGGGCGCTGTAACCACATCGCACATTACCGTACAACAAAACTTGAAAAATAAAAACAAAATTCCTGATTTGAAATTTTCACACAATGAATACAGTTAATTTCACAAAGGCATGAACATTTTTTTATTTACATAAAATATTTATAAATGTTTTATTAATTTCAAACGACAGTTGAAATCAACCAATCAGAATATGCCAACAGATGCTTTGGAGTAAATGAATCAATTATTTAAGGTAACCAAATAGAAGCACCTTCGCATTTGAATGAAGCTTCCAAAGTAATTTTTTTATAAATATTTCGTGAAATTTCAATAAAGAAAAACCTTCATGCCTTGTTGGTATTCACTGTAATGTAATATTAAAGATTACAATTGAATTAGTTTTTTTTACACTCTAAATGACCCAAAAAAAGTCAAATACTCTGGTACCTTATACGGAACAATTCAAAATTTCTCCACTTTTCAAAAACGCAAGCAGTAATTAAAGTTTGAAAAATATTTAACAAGAATTTTGCTACAATATTTGATCATCAACAATGCCCCCTCAGAAAGTACCAGGATGTAAACCTTTTGAGGTCGTGAACGATTATTAAACTCAACGAATGTATATTCTGTATTAGAACAACTCCCATAGAAATACATGAATCTTAGAATCGCATAGAATTCCATAGAATCGCATTAAAACCAAAACTGTTCAATTTCAATTACGCGTCAGTTGCAATGGCAGCCTAGATCAAGGGCAACATAACGATTGCTCTTGTCGCACAAATAGTGTCCAATTCTCATCGCATCCACTGTACGTGTTACACATGTCAGGGACCCAGCGGACGTAATGACAAGAGAAACGCTATTTGAGGGAAAACAAATCTATCACCATTGCTCTCGCTATACGATCAACGAGATATTGGCATTTTTTTCAGCTGAGCGTTTAAACGCTTTGAAATAATCGCATGATGTGAAGTACCGTAAAACCTGTATTAGAAGCCACATTTCTAATAAAAGTCGCACCCATTTTTTTTGAACTGAGAACCAAATATTCACCATTTCTCAGATGTATAGATGCTCTAATAGAAGCCGCATCCCCTCTGTTGCATTGTACCATTTTAATAGAAGCCGCAGCTTCTAATATAGATTTTACAGTAGTCAAAACAAGAATTCAAGAACCTCATTGAAACACGTACATTTTTGCGAAAACCTTGGCATTGATTATAAGTTTAAATGGTATTTATTAGCACATATCATTTTGCACAGAGATTTGATTCATAATTTTTTTTTCCAAACAAATTAAAACACAAATTGAGTTTAAGCTTTTCAGAGACAGAGAAAAAAAATACAATGCAATTCTTGTTTCAGCAAAGAAGGTTTTTAACATCATATATCAATTATTTTGGCAGAATGAGCATTTTTTGTTGTTGAAAAGGCCCAGCAGAGAAAAAGCAAAAAAAGGCCAATATCATTCTCTAAAAATCAAGCATTCTTTGTAGCAACATGCATAACTTTAATAGTGCTAACAGATTTCCATCAAAAGTTACACAGAAAGAACCAAAGCACCTCAGTGACCCTTTCACAAGTATGGCGCCCTCACAGTTCACTGTGGGAGAGGATTTAGAAAACCGCTTATCCTTGAGGGCAGAGCTACGTTACAGTACGTTCCACGTTGCTAAGACGCGCACCACTGTACCATGCATTTCTATGGGCTCTGTGCGCGCTGCTGTGGAACGCCGGTCGAGCCGGTGAAAATTAGAGAAAACAACACAAACTCAACTTTGAAGTAATCCCGAACAACCAAATTTATATATGTTACACACGTAGGGCTAATCTTGTTACACTGTTCAGAGGAGTCTCAACAATCATCCCAAAGTACCGTTTTCTGCGAGTTTTGGGCCTTTGTTTTCACCGCCGCGGGTTGCCAGGCGGTGAAAATGCCCGGATGTCCGCCCCCGAGGATTCAAAGGCAATTTATAGTTGGTTTACCTATCAGACTCGTGTCAGTTTCGACTTGTAGCAAAATTTCCGAGATAATTACATTAATTAACCAAAGAAAAATAATAAACAGGGACCTGTGAGGGCACCATACTTGTATAAAAAAAAAAGGTATATATTGTAACATTATTCAGAAAGATAGACACTGGCGGTAAGTAAAATAGTTTACAATTGACTAAGACTTATAAGATTAGAAACATCTTTATAATAAAATACAATAAAGTAACTAAAACATTGCCCCTTACACCCATTTTAAATAAAAACAAAAACATTATTAAAAGCAATCAATTTAAAGTAAATCTCGCAGAGTTTGGATGCCGTTACTGTAAATCATACAATATTTGAATCAAATTTCTTATTTTTTTTTTTATATTCAAAGTTTATATTGTTCTAGTGCTCATATTTAAAAAAAAAAAAATATTTGGCTTCCATTGCATTAGAGCATAGAAAAATTAGTTTACTTACATTCCTGCAAATAATATTTTCGCTTTGAATTTATTTTTGCTGAAGGAACAATTCATTGAAAATAAAATCCAGCGAATATACCTTTTTTCCCCCTAAATTTACAGGATGTTTTACAGTACTGTAAAATACTTTATTTTCACTTGGAATTACTTTTCGCTGAAGGAACAATTCAGTGGAAATAAAATCGATATCTTTTCTTCCATAGATTTTAAATTCAACTCGTCAAAAATCAGTGAAAATAAATTCCATACAAAACACCCAAAAAGTCTTTTCAGCGAAAATTAATTCCGGCTAAAATAAAGCATTTTACAGTATTCTAATTTGTTCATGTTTTATATATTTATATTCAAAGCTGACCTCTGACCTCAATCCAAGAAGAACCTAACTACTAACCCACTTTTTTGCTATTATTTTTGCTATTCATTTTTTCTAATTCAGCAAATATCATAAAAGCTCAGGAAATCAGCATAAAAAAATGTAATTACTGCATAGAAAAAAATTTAACTGATGTAAGTTTCAAATCCATCTTAATCAGCACCCTCTATAGTTCATAACTTGAAATAATTTCCAAAGATATGTAAACAGCTCCCTCTATAGTTTCCCAGCATCTGTGCATATTTTTTAAAATATAAATTAAAGTGCATGCATTAAAACTAAAAAAAAAAAATTATTTAAAAGAAAAAAATATTTTAAGCCTTAAAAACAAAACATCCAAAAATTTCAAATTTACATACTGTATACTTTTGTTATAATAGTAACTTTATTAAACTATAGACCGAATTAAACTAGTAGTACTATAGACAAGACTAAACTAAATGGTTTCATAGACCAGACTAAACTAGATGGTACTGAAAACATTCAGAATTCAATACAATGCTTACTTGGACTCAGTGAAAGCCGGAGAGCAAATTGGTGCTGGTTTTTAGCATCAGTGCACCCTCTACAGGACAGTTTTTGCAGGAATTTTGCATCACAATGGAATCCCCCCCCAAAAAAATCAAGATCCAATATGGCTGTCGGTGCCCCTAATACAACCTCCATTTCCACACTTATTCTGTTTCTAAATTTGGTAAATTTCGTAAGCAGTGAAAATTTCCCAATTTGTCTACATCGTACATGTCGTGTCGTGTGGTGTGGGACCCACACCAATCAAAAAATACATTAAAGCGACAATGACGTCACACTGTACAAGTTTAAAACAGTATCGGTCAACAATAATTTTACCCACACTGTTTTCGTTTCGTTTCGTTTTTCTTTTATAAACAAACTGGTATTAAGTGGAGTAGTGACTATTAAAGAGAAATTGGATAAACTGAAAAAATTTTTCATACAACTAAGTTCGGTTCTTGTAACTAAAGGTTTTTGTTGCTGATGAGATTGTCATTTTTAAATGTAATAATGTAATGCATTGTGGGAAACATTCTTCTTACCAAACATGGTAAGCATGACGACGAAAAGGCTTCGATTTAAACACGACATTGGTTTATGAATAAACGATAACAAAAATCAGCCCAAGTAAAAAAAGTACGCACGATGCTGAAAACTGAATTCAGATTAAATTTTTCTAATAGAATTTTCAAAGACTTCTTTAAAGCGGCTCCACGTAGTTTGACGGAAGCATACCGGTGTCGCCTGTTCTCTCATTGGTTCCTGTCATCCATCCGGCATCTATTATTTCGCAATTAATTAAAATATCTCCGTCAAGAAAAGTGACCTCGTCAGCCTCCGCCGCAGTGTAGTCGTAAATTGCCTGGTAGCAGAGACCCTGAAAGAAATAAACAGAACAGTAAAACAGGTGAACACTGTCGCTTTCAAGCATCCCTGACAATGTCGATTGTCGTATATGAAAGTGGTTTCACCAACGTGTAAAACAGTAATGTAATATGGGTATATATTCAAACTTACATACAGCGTGGCCAATCCAAGACGCTGTCCTTTAAAGACAGGAGGATTTTATATGTAGTTTGATTATTTAATTCGTGACTAAAAATATAGTTTCTTATTTCGAGGACAATTTGTCAACATTTGCAGGTTAGAATAAATAAAAACATGCTGGTCTTGATCAGATTGAAAATTCCAGCGTAGATACTTTGAACAATAAAAGAAGACATCATCTTCTATCGCTGTGGCTTTTATATGAGGTTTATCTGAGGAAATTGGTGCCAACAGAGCGGTGCTTAGCTGATCAGATACCAATGAACAACATTTTAAAAGCTTGTTTATGTTTTTTTAATTGTTACAAATGCCCAGTGTGTTATGTTTACTGTAGAAGAAGAAAATATTCACATGGTTTTAATTTCGGGAATTTTGCTGTAAGCCCAAAACGCGAGACAAGACCATTGACTGACTTGCTTCAAGTGGTATGTATGACCCTTTGTTTTATTTTTTGACAATCCGCGAAATTTAAACACAGCGAAAAGCTTGGAAAGCTCAATACTGTGAAATGAAACACACGCAAAATTAAATGTTTCTACAGTACTCAAGGTTATGCGACAATGTCAAGATCAAAATTTACCAAACACTCACCCTTGACTTGGCTTGGGACTGTGACACGGGAGGAGCATAGGACTGCACTGGTGGTGGAGGTTCATACTGTTCTACTGGAGGAGGCGGCTGGTAGGTTTGAGGGGGTGGCTGATACGTGTCTTGAGGGGGAGGCTGGTATGTCTGGGGAGGTGGTTGGTAAGTCTGGGGCGGTGGATCGTACGTCTGGGGTGGCGGTTGGTATTTCTGGGGTGGCGGTTGGTACGTCTGAGTAGGTGGTTGGTATGTCTGGGGAGGGGGGTCGTATGTCTGAGGAGGTGGTTGGTACGTCTGGGGAGGAGGCTGGTATGTCTGGGGAGGAGGCTGGTACGTCTGAGGAGGAGGTGGTTGACTTGAGTTCTGAAAAAAAAACACAGAATAGTCTTACAAGACAAGCAGCCTATCGGCTGAGATAGCTCCGCTGTTAGCAATGCACATTTCAATTAAAGAACTGAAGACATCATTAGAAAATGAACAATATGAATAGTATCAAAGCAATCGGACTTACAGTTTTCAACAAGAAGTCGAAAATATCACTTTTTACCAAAAATTACAAAAATATTCACCAAAATTAGAGAACTGAAGATATCATCACAAAATGAACAAATCTGAGAAAGGTCTACATGTAGTATCTATATATGTAATATCAAAGCAATTGAACTTTTGGTTTTTAACAAGAAGTCGAAAATATCACTTTTTACCAAAAATTACAAAAATATTCACCAAAATTAGAGAATTGAAGATATCAACATGAAATGAACAAACCTAAGAGAGGTCTACCCAAGGTACATATACACCAAGTATCAAAGCATTCAGGCTTGTAGTTTTCAAGAAGAAGTCGAAAAAGTAAAACATTGACACGGACGACGACGGACAATCACTCATATGATAAGCTCCGCTCGACAAAGTCGACAGCAGAGCTAAAAATATGTCTAATGCAAAAGGTCACACATCCTGGTAATTTGCATGACCCCCTAAAGGTCACACATCCTAGTACTAAGCACAACTGATAAGGTCACACATCCTGGTAATTTGCATGACCACAAAAGGTCACACATCCTGGTACTAAGCACGACCCCAAAAGGTCACACATCCTGGTACTTTGCATGACCTCAAAACGTCTTAATAAGGGACAGATTCATTCTCAATACTAATTTTTAAATAAAATATCAGTTGTCATAAACAGACGGCAAACATTTAACTCAAGTATCCAAAATTATTACAATTACAGGGAATTTCATCCCAGAAATGCCAGGATGAGTGACCTTTCCGGGTGTACATTTGAACTAATGCTTTCATAAATTAATGCAAAACAAATTGTTCTTAGCAACCATGTTACTATAGCAACCACAATTTTCATTCAACCTATTCAATGCAGTACCAGTGATTTAAAAAAAAAAAAAACTGAAAAGAAATTATGTAACACTATCAAAGGCCAATCAAGACATTTCAAAG